TTCAAAAGAAAGCTGGACTGCAATTTTGTTCGATGGAAAATGCGTTCTGGCTTGGACGCGGCAATTGAGCCCATTGTTTTGGAAGCTTCCGATGGTCCTGTCCATCTTTTGTTTAGTTCCAGATACCGGATGTGTGAAATGTCTGCAAAATGACTGAAACCAAGCTGGATTGCAATTTCTTTTGATGGGAAATAGACCCTGGCTTGGCCAGGTGACGGAAACCAGTCTTTTGCACAAAATTGCCGGCTCACTGCTCTTGCACGGTGTCTACTTATTATTATTATGTTAATTACTAGTATATTATTTGTTCAAGCAAAACCACAATAAGCAAGGCACACCGCTGAACACTCTAGAACCGCAGAATCCAGCTAAATCGCAACTTGTTTTGGTTAAAAATGCTTTCTGGCATGGCAAAACACTTGTTTTCCCAGGGAACCGAGAAAGCACGCGCTTGTCTGCGGCTGATAATTAATTAATGTCTTCATATTTTTATTGCAGGACAAGACCGGAACATCACAGGCCACGAGGCCTGGGGAATTTTGAGCACAACCGAAAACCTGCCAAACAAGCCTGCATCGCAATTTCTTTTCGATTGAAAGGCACTTGGCTCTAGGGTTTAGGGGTTATCGGTTACGGATTCAGGGTTTAGGCTGTAGTAGGATTTACGCCGTATGGGTTTAGGTTTAAGGCTTCGGGTTTAGATTTTGGGGTTTAGGATTAANNGATCGCAATTTCATTTGAAGGAAAATTCCAGCTGGCTTGGCCATTCGGTGTCAAAGACCTCAATTCCCATCCCGGCTTTGCCTTCCAAGCTAAGACCAAGCCTAAGCTTGGGTTACAATCTACAATCCACTTAATTCCGCAAAGCAATGAGAACACACGACACATCTAAGTCTAGATGCCGATTTGGTTCCACGCAGATAATTTTACATGCTTAGTACATGTAAAGGAAACCGGTTCTCATTCAACATTGAGACCACTCCAGAATACATCCGATGCATGACTTTGACTGTATTACAAGTTCCTGAGGCCTTGATCCGAAACCATCGTGCCTTCTTCTGCTTCGTCGTCCTCTTCGGAGGCCAAGACCCTTTGCAGTGGATGTGCTTCTGCAGACCGGAGAACCTGCTCGCAAGAGAAAGAAATGGAAAGGAGCGCGTCTACAAGCTGAAACCTGATCATGAGGCACCTGGACGCAGAGATGATGGAGACCTCCTCTGCCGAATCCTTCGGCAAGAACTTTTCTTTGCCCCTGGCGCCAAGCAAGGCAAAATCCTTGATGCTCTTCGTCTTGTCCTGCAGAGGGTAAAAGGGATGCTCACTGAGTTGATCAGGATTTGTTGCTGACAAGCAGTCCTGACTTTCGAAGACCAGGGCCGCAGCGAGTTCCTGTCTGGTGATGAGCCAATATGGCTCTTGTTCTGCCCAGACCGCGGCATAGAAGTTCCGGGACTGCAGCGTCGAGTCCACGCAGTCGGCCGAGACCACGTGCGGCGCACGAACCTCAGAGGAGGCTCGTGATCTATGGAGCCGGCGGCTCATGCAAGTGCTCCAACGTCTTGCTACCGGGGAGCTCCAATCTTCGCGAGGCCAAGTTTCTTCAGGAAGCCCGGCATACCGGAGCACAGCCATCTACGGCTCGGATTCATGGTCAAAACACGCTAGACCAACAAACCGGTGGCTGAGCTTCTCATCTGCGGAAATCTGACTTGAGGGGAGGGGCACGTCGTGTAGACCAAGCCGGCAGCAAACATGAAGGCTAGGCCGCCTCATAATGTAGACCGCATACTGCCAATTTCTCGGAACGTCTGTCCTAGCCTCTGCAAACATTTCAGAGTTTGGCAACACTTGTTTGATTTTTTCACCGTTGCCCAGGCAAGAATTTGTACACATGAGCAAAGGCCCGGTCCAGGAGCGAAACTTGTCACTGCCATGTCTCTGCGTTAAGCAGACCTTTAACTTTAAATGTAGCAGACCAGGGACCTTTGCTGAAGCATGACGTCTCTAGATGCAAAATTTGGAGACCTGTCTTCACATCTCATGCGGAATCAGTCCTCGTCGTTGTTCTCGCTGTCCGAGGAATCACTACTGCTCTGAGACCCACCATTCTTTGGCTTGGCGTCTTCAGAGACCGGCTTTGTGGGTGAGACCTTTGCGGATGGGGCCAAATCGGCCGACTCCCCATTCAGCGAAGAGACCCTGGCCAAGCGGCGCCGGAACTTCCTGCCTGGGAAACCGTTGTTCTTGCACTGGCAGATGTCCATCATCTGGGCCAAGACCACCTTGGCAAAGTGCGGGGAAACTTCAAACTTAAACAACAAGACGTCAAGACCCCAGGCGTGTAATAATTGTGGCAGGGAGCCGTCTCCTCGATCAGTTGGGAATGCAACAGCGAGTTCGTGAGACCGACGTAGTGGAGACCAGCACGTGTTGCAGCCGTGCATAACATGCCAGACCCTGGAGTCAGGTCCAGCACGGTAGACCTCACCTCGTCATCCACGTCCCCACTGGCAAAGCAGTGAAGGAGCTCGGCATAGACCTGCTCAGTGCATTCCCAAGGGAACAAGACCAGCTTCGCATTCTCCTCCAAGACCTCCTCTGCAACGTCGCTCTCGAGACCTTCCGTGGTCGCCTCGAGTGCATGCTTCTCGTTCTCACCACAGACCAGTTTCTTGGTTTCTGGTGAGACCGTGTTGTAGACCTCGCTGCGAAGAGGCAAACCAGACCATCCTCGGCTTGCGTTGGTGCCTGGAACATCTATCCACTTGCGCTGACGGCTTGGGAGACCCGAGTAGTACTCAGACCGCCCCACCACATTGACGGTCTCCAATGGATCCGGAAGACAAGCGTGAAAGACCGTCTTGGACTTGCGCAAACGCACAGTGTTATCGCCTGCGAGACCGAACTCTTTGTTGGTGTAGAACAGACGGAGCTGGACGCCTCCACGCGAGCCTAAGACCTTGGCTTTCTTTCCCTCTGAGATCAAAGACCTGATGTTGTTGCCGTTCCTGGCAGACCGGCCATCCATCAAAACTAGGACATCACGATTTTGCATTGCCCCGTTCTCGAAAAAGACCTTGCTCAAGACCTTGTAAAGCTGCGGTTCTGCGATGGGCACAGACCGGTAGTCCGACAGGTTGCGGGTGCACTTGGGGTCGAGGAAGACCATGATAGGAGGGTTGTCGCTACCTTTCGGTCTCAATTTTCCCAAGACCTCTGTCAGCTGATCTTCCAGCCTGCCCTTGACGATGAGCTGCACAGTCTTCTGCACACCTCACGCAAGACTGCGAAAGCACAAAGATTGAGACCGTGCGTGTTTGTGTGTGTGTGTGTGTGTCTGGAACAACAATAGTCAACACACACCTTTGATACCTTATATAGAGGTAAAAAAAGATAGGATAGGTTTATTAATACATAGATAAATCGGTAGATACGTAGATACATTTAGATAGTTAAGCAAATAGGTTGACATCTCTATATATCGTTGACTAACGCTATGAAGGGATGCGTGTAAATGAGTTCTGTGCCTTCTTGACATTTATCAAACTTTCTCTTTACATCTTACTGTCTATCCAGACAGTTACAGCTAGTCTGTTAGTGTAACGTATATAATTACATCCGATAACCCTAAGAATTATAGTACAATATAATAATAAAATATAATGCTGAAACCGAGGCTTGGTTGGATGGAAGGATCATCGGGATGAGATGTAATATACATGTACAAGAACTGATGGAAGATAGACACACGTATTACTAGTGCAAACCGAAGTTGTCACTAACAGACAGACTGCTCATAGACGACAAAGACACAAGTGCCCTGATAGAGAGGGAGAGAGAGACAGAGAGAGACACACGCACAGAGAGACACACTGAGGAGACTTATAACACAAGGCAGCCATTCATTCAAGAACAAAAGTGATTGAGACCCCCGCAAACATTGGCGTAGTTCATGGCTTGGTCGAAAGACCCTTGGCTGATCTTGCCCAGCAAGTCCTCTAGCCAGCTGGGAATGCAGACCGCCTTGAAAGAACTTCCACGCGAGACCACCACTGGAGCCACAGGCACGTCGAGGACCATGTCCGGGGTATCTTGCTCGGGCACCGTCTTTGCCTTTGAGTCCTCCTCTTCCTTCTTTGTGTCTGCAGCCCTGGCCTCCTCCAACGCAGAGACCACAGCTTCTGGTTCAGGAGGAGTCAGCACGGCCTCGAGATCGTAGACCTCGTGCATGCGGGGGTTCTGCAGCAAGACCTCGGCAGGCTCCAGGAAGTTCGAGACCAGCGACTCCTGGAGGATGTCGTAG